TGCTAAAAGTCGGATGTCGTAATCCCTGCTGGGGATTTTAATGCACGGGTTGGCCGCCTCTTACCCTACGAACGCCACCTTGGTGATCATCACTCGCTCGATGAGAACCGCTCTGATAACGGAGAGAGACTTCTCACATTGTGCGAAAAAACCGTCTGTTTCTTTCGAGCACTAACTTCAGGCGTACGAAGAAGCGTTCCGCAACGTGGCGTCCCCCTTCTTCAACACAACCGTGGTCTCAAATTGATCACATTGCAATTAGCTTCAGATGGTGCGGCAGCGTACTGGACTGCAGGTCCTTTTGGTCCACCTTCGTCGACTCAGACCATGCTCTGGTCTGCGCGAAAATCTGTGTGTGTTTTGGAGGATCCCGAAACACGAAGCACCGCAAGATTGATGTAAACAGATTAACTGATCCCTCTGTCCAGGCGAGCTATCAGTCTTCATTGGCATATGCACTCAGTTGAAATCGACCACAGGAAGTGGAACAACACTGGACTTGTATACGGAAGGCAATGACCATTTCCGGACAGTCATGCTGCGGCCTTATGCGACGCTCCTTGAAGGCTTGGATCTCTGCTCGTTCTCTGGAGCTGTTTGAACACCGCAAAGATATCCCCGCGGAATCAGATTGCAACCAGCGGCGCCGTTCTGCCAACCGGCTGCTCAAGCAAAGCATACGCAAGGATCGCGAGACATGGTGGTCTGAACGTGCTTTAGAGATGGAGACTGCTGCCCTCACTGGTAACACTCGCAGGCTTTTCCAACTCATTCGGTCCACTGGCCTCAGGAAGCCTGGTGTCAGTGGGATCATTTGTGAGGTGGATGAGTCTCCGATCACCAACCAATAGAGGCGTATGGACCGCTGAGCCGAACACTTTCACTCGCAGTTCAACTGGTCTCCACCATAAATCGGTACATGCAATACACCTTGTTGTCCACCCTGGCTCGTCCCACTGAATCCAACCAGCGAAACGGAAGTCTGCCTCGAGATTCGACGCTTGAAGCGCTTCAGGGCTGCCGGCTTAGACGGACTTCTTCCTGAGCTATTCAAGTACGGCGGAGTGGCGATCATTAACCAGCTGACCGCGCTGTTCGCAAAAGTTTGGCATGAAAAGAAAGTGCATTCCACTTGAAGAGAATCAGTTGTCCCGATTTTCAAGAAAGGCGCTCGCGCCTCATGTGCAAATCATCGCGGGATTAGTCTTATTTTGGTTGCCTCTAAGCTATTGGCATCCATTCTGCTTCGCAGGCTCTCCCCAGTACGTGAATCATACTACCGTGAAGAACAAGCTGGTTTCCGTCCTGGCCGCGGATGCGTGGATCAAATCTTCACGCTCCGCCAAATCATTGAACATCGCCACATTTATCACAGGTCCACTTTCATTGCATTTCTAGCCATACGTGCCGCTTTTGACTCCGTTGATCGACCGGCTTTATGGCATTGCTTACTAAAGAACGGGGTGCCAGAGAAATATACCGCCATCTTACGAGCACTTTACCTTCACACATCCGGCAGAGTGAGGGTCTATGGCAAGCTTTCCTCGCAATTCACTGTCAATAGCGGTGTGCGACAATGCTGCCCTATGTCCCCATTCCTCTTCAACTTCGCAATCGAAGACGTTCTGTCGAATGCCCTAGAAGGTTTGCAACATTTTGGCTTAGAGCTTCTACCGGGTGAGCGCGCGACCGACTTAGATTATGCTGATGATATCGCCTTACTTGGTGACGATCCTCAGAGTATGCAACTCATTCTGGATCGTTTGGCGGTTGAAGCATCTAAGTATGGCATGAGCTTTGCCCCATCGAAGTGTAAAGTACTACTCAAGGATTGGCTTTCACCTGCTCCCGTACTCACTCTCGAAGGTGTACAACTTGAACAAGTAGATAGCTTCGTCTATCTTGGGAGTTGTGTTTCTGCTGACGGCACTATCAGCAAAGAAGTTTCTCTTCGTATCGCTAAAGCTCGATCAGCATTTGTCAATCTGAGGCATTTTTTGGCGTCGTCGCGACGTCTCATTCTCACTAAAGGGCCGAGTTTACAGCGCATCAGTTGGATCAGTATTGTTGTATGGGTGCGAGTCCTGGCCGATTCGCGTTGAAGACATGCGTCGTCTTTCTGCCTTCGATGCCGGTTGCTTAAGGAGGATCGCTCGTGTTTGGTGGCAACATCGAGTTAATAGTAATGACGTTCGACGTCGCATCTTGGGGAATACGAGTATTCCCTTCAACAAACTGATTTTGTAGCGCCAGTTAAGATGGCTCGGTCACGTCCTACGCACGGCACCTGAGCGTCTACCGCGTCGAGCTCTCGTCGCTCATCAAGGACCTGGCTGGAGGCGACCGCGTGGTGGTCAGCCTTCCACTTGGCGGCAGCACATGAAATCGCTGACATCGTGTCTAGCCGCTGTTGGATCTGTACGTCTTCCAGGATGGGGACCCAAAGATGAGGAGTGCCAATGGCTTAGCACTCTTGAAGATATGGCCCGAAACCGGAATCAATGGAAGAATTGTGTACAGTGTTGTGTTGATTCACATGTTTAATACTATAAAGATGAAAATGACAAAAATGAGCATAAGCGGCGTGTTAAAAACAGACTAAAAATGTTTTGTTCTACTTTTTATCAAAATGTTTCATTCTTCCGTGCGGCATATTACTTGAAGTGTGTTGCTCACTTTCAACTAGCATGCCACGATGGTCAACAAACACGACGAATCTTACTAATCTGCTGATCTTCATGGTATTTTGCTGGCTCTATGTCTAGTTAATAGACTGTTGAGATTACATACATGCATACTTAGAGCGATGCTTCAGTCAGCTATCCAGTAGGACTATTGCCATGCCTTTAGAGGGTAGTACCACTTTCAATATATTTGGACCGTAGCCTCTGTACTTGGGAGATGAAGGAAATATTATCATTGATTTTGTGATTATGTCGTCTAGAGAGGTTGCTTCGCAGATACAGCACCACTGTTCTCAGTCATGTGTTTACGCTTCGCAGTCAGGAACTCCACGAACAAATACAGTTTTCTTGCTTGCCCTCGTAGAAGCGTCACTGTGATTTTCATTTTTCCATCGATTTCTCTTTCTAAGATTTAGTTAATAGTATACGTACCCCACTCGATTTATTTCGAAAACGAACTGCAGAGAGTAGGACTGTCTCTTTCTCCTCAGTTATGCTCAAGGTCACAAGAAGTACTCGGGGTTTGTTATAGTGCACGGAATTTGGGTGACGCGCTACGTGTCTTAACTTAGTGGGCTGAACCAGAATAATAGTCTCATCGTAAATGGAATTCCACCCGATGCGAGCAGTCCACAACTTGCCTTTTATTCTGCTAGCTCTGTACCCTGGAACGTTAGTGCACAGTATAGTTAACGCACTGTGGTTCTGTTTAGTGAATGTCGGTTTGAGTTTTGTGACTGGCAAGTTGGATGTGAGAAACACCGTCGCGATGATTCTGCTTAGTGCAAAACCTAGACATACGAGTATGCAGTTAGTGTTTCTATCATAGCGTACGATGCTTATGTTACCTGGCTCTGCGCTGCTGGTGTTGTGGCCAATTCGTCAAGGACGGCATCTAGGGATACGTTAATAGCACGCATGCCTGATGTGGCTTTCCCGTTTAGAGAGTTAGTCGTTGCAGGAGTGGGAAGTGCAGATGCCATTGGGCAATGGGTATGATTGACTTTATCCTTCGAATTAGGGACAGCTCTCTGAGGGGTTCCGTTTAGAACAAGATCGGTGTTGTTAGCTTCTGCTAGCGCAGCCCTGAACCTCGGAATTTGCTGGAATGTTCCAGTCCGTTTGCCAAACCTTTTCACGAGTGTTATTATACAATTGGCCATTGGAATTGTCTGCAAGGTTGGCAAAATTAGAGCACATCAAACAGAATACTTTGGTATTTACGTTCCAGTTGACAAACACCAGAATAGCGGATGTGGTAGGCGAGGCCGCGTTTTACATAAGTTATGCCAATTCTGACCTTTCGTGCACATTTGGCCCCACCACCTTTGCTGTTAGGTGGAAGCAATTCCATTGTGGATGGTTTTTGCACTCAAACATTGCACCTGTCTGGTCACGAGAAGTAGAGGGCAAATGCTTCTCATGTTCTTTGTCCAGTCACATGATCGAACCCAGTTACCATAGGTGAGTGGGTCAAGCCGAGGATACACGAACACGGAGTTTGGCTAGCATATTGATCTGCACTGCTTCTTGCCGGGCAATGCCGTTTGAATTGGCTTGTCGTGGGTGGACGCCTGCAATTGGCGAAGGCAATTGAAACCACTGATTGGTACGTAGCCTCCTTAGAAATGATCCTATGGAAATAATTCTATGCTCAATGTTAGCGCGTAGTATACACGATCTAGCACAGTATCGCATCAGTTAAAAAACAGGGTAGCTTGTCTGGGTATAACTACGCGGCACGCGTACAAAATGGTTGTTTATGTACTTACTTAGGTGGCAAAAAGCACTTACCGTGGACATTAATTCCTTAGATGTGCCAATTGAAGACAGTGAGTTGCTTTGATTCCAATGAATCTGTGCTAACTGCGCTAAGTGAAGAGAAAGAGGTGGAACTCTTTACCAGAAGAGAGCACGGTTCTTATGGGACAATTCAGTGACGGTGACCAAAGACACTTTATTGTGATAAGAATTAACCGAAAGGCTCATTTGAACTGAATTTCAAACTATCGTTATTTGGCCTTGATCAACATTTCTCCAGTTGTATTGCATGCAAAGCTCATACAACCCCCCAGTAAGCATGAACGCGATTTGCAGAAAACCTACCTAAGGTAGCCTAATTGGAAAATACCTTAAACCGACTGGCTGTAAAGTGTGTTTCCATGATTGCTTCGTTTGGAAGGACCACAATTGTGATATGCTGCTTTAGATTAGAGATGCATTGACGAGTGGCATTCTTTGACTCGGATTTCCTTCCACATATTTTTGTATTCCTTGAAATGAAATATTCATTGATAAACGTTTTTCTCCTCGCAGGTGGCATGGGCGGAAACAACACACATCGGATGCTCTGTGACCGACTGCTCTAATGTAAAATCCTTCGGCTATAAAAACTTTTACGTTTGTAACTACGGTCCAGCGTAAGTTATTAATGAATGGTTTCAAAGCAAATGTCTTCGTATTATTTTAATTTTGATTATATCAGCCGTTACTCTTCGTCCTTTTAGATTCAAACTAGATTGAAGATAGTGTCCCATCTTATTCGTTGTATTCCTTGATAGGCTAGTAAACTATTATGTTTAAATGGACAACACATGTCTCAGGCAACTCTGTTAGAGTACACAGAGTAAACTGAGCGCCCATTTCATCCGTCGCCACTATGTCAGTGGGTCAAGCGCGATAACCAGCTGGTGGCTTTGCAGTTTGCGAAACCTGACCTTAGGCAGATTTAACCATTTTGGTGCATGGTTAATTGCTAGCTAAACTAATCCTTTAGGTGTTGCGCAAGTGTAGACATCCCCACAGGGGGACACATTCATATGAAACTGCAAGTAATCAGCGTTATTTGGTGCTGTGTAGACGGATCACACAGCAGCTTGGATTAATCAGACAACTGTGACACTAGTAAGTGTTGGGAAGAACAGAGAAGACGAGACTAGGCTAAAATGGCACATCTCCTACGAAATGCATAGACGCAGCGATGTAGCTGACATAAGACATATCATACGCACGTCTGGATAGAAAAGCCGTGGATTAGAATAATTTTCATGTACTCCTGTATCCGTGGTTATGGGGTGGGAATAATGTACCAGGCTGAACTCATGGCTTGTTCTGCCATTTGTCGTCAGTGAGCGAAATTGGGTGTGTGTGATGTTTATGCGATGGACAGAACAACGCAACTGGCTGTCCCTGGAATAGGGAAGGATCAATACAGGAAGGAACATGCTTATTCATGTGTAAGATATGTATTAAAGGACCGTGTTGTTAAGGCCGTCCAAAATGCATGGGTTGTGTTAGTACTGGGTTTTATGCACCACCTTTTAACACTGGCTATGCATTCCTTGGTTCACTCGGGAAGCATTCACTTGGTGATTTGTCAGATGTAAACATGGTCACTAATGGAGTCAGTTAAAACCTGTACTGTTCTCAGTATGTTGGTAGAATACAAGATCGGAGATAGAACCGGTGGTATTGATGCAACGGGAACGCAAGTTCCGGCAAAGTAAGTTAGTGTACGATCTTTGGTAGGTTATATGTTTCAATGGCCCTGACTTACCAGTGATTGGTTGGCCTGTGCCTTTATCTCATTGGGTAGGTTCAAAGAGGGAGTTCGTGGGGCGGATGCACCATGTAGGTTGGAATTCCGCTCCAAGAACTTGTCAGTTTTAATGCGAAATATTCCTGCATTTGCACAAGCCTTAACGTGAGTGCTAAGCTATTCCCCAGTACAGCGTATCGGACGATGAAACAGCTGTGAAGAATAGCAGTTCTGGTGCTCGGCACAATTCGTCTGCAAGTCTTGTTACGAAGACACCAGATGAAGTTGTTTCGCAACTCTAATATGCACAACATGCAGTAGGACTTTGGTTTCTGAGATTGCGCATGAGTATCAAGTTCTGTTTTGGTCATCGGAACCGCAGAGGCTCGAGTTAAAGCTGTTGGAAGCTCTCCTTATAGCTCAAGGTGAGTATTGAACAATGAGTTTGTACGAGTTAAGAAATATTGCGTTACAAGTCCTGTTGCATGGTTTGATGAGGTTGTGGAAGCAAGTTAATTTACATCTGTTGGCATTTTTACTATCAAAAGCGGGCGTTATCTTTTTTAATGCTCTACTCCTGCACTTTGCTAAATTTCACCTCACAAATACGTGACAGCTAATAAATTTAAGACAGATCCTTGGAGTAGAATAAAGAACTAATGCTAAGTGACAAAATGTAAGTGGATATGTGGGTCGTCTAATCGACTTATAACTATTGCCAGCTTCGATACATAAATAAACAATCCATTGGGAACATTTCACGGATGAGATACGGGAATATAAAAGAACTCCCTGCAGCACTCCAGACGGCTATACTGTTCTGTGAGTTTCGTTGATTGAGTTATCATTATTATACTACAGCTGAGTTGCAGTAAGTCGCAGGACACATGCTGTGGGTTGTGCAGAAGCAAATGGGCCATTATCAGCTTGTATTGCGTGTTCCACATGGGAGGTAACATACGCATTGACCACCGTGCAATAAATATCGATGTCTATTGGTCCTAACGCTCCTCGCAACAGTCCGGCTTGTTGGTTACCAGCTTTTAAGGCCTTTTCGGGTTGCCTTGAGCAACCTAAGTCATCATTAACCAACCCACCCAGATAAAGTTGACGGAAGATTGATGGAGTACGTACCATCCGAGCCGGTATAAGTGGTTGATCTGGTGGCGTGTGTAGAGCAAGTTACATTTATTCACTTTTAAGTGCAGTAAATGTTGGATTGACCACCTATGTACTATTTCCAGTTCACTCTGAAGCAGACGCTTGTCGGCATTCCGCTAAATCCTGCAAGCAGTAGGAAGTCTGAAGCGGTTGCCAGATGGAGTTTATCAACAAACATCACAAATTCGTGGGACTAGAACTGAACCTTTTGGTACACCCCAATCGACTTTTGTGGGACAAATAAAGAGTCTTGAACTCCGAATACTAATTACCGTTGAAGCAGCAGGTTTGTAATTCAACTTAAGTGGACGTTACTGATACCGTAATACTGTGGCTTAGAAAGTGGAATTCAATGAGCTAGTCTAAATAAAGGTCTGAAATCTAAACCATCGATTTCCACCGAAATATCGAGATAGACCACAACAAATTTCTCCCCGGAGTCAGTTGACTCGTTCCAACTGCACTGTGTTAGTAGCCAATTCGTTGTGCGCTATCGCTGTCGACGGAGGCCGTACTTCCCGGGAGCAATCAAGTATGAGTCTTCTGGATAGCGCAACTTGTGTGTTATGGTGGATTTCAAGACATGTGTACTGTGGGTTGTACCCACGGACTCCGCAGATGTTCGCGTTATCGTGTTAGGTTCTAATCTTGCCTTGGGAATACTACGTTATACGTGTTTTCTCTGGGTGAACTGTGCACCACTAGTTTGCTTTCGGTGTATTTTTCTATCCGTGCAAATTTGGTGGATATTCTCCGGCTACTGTAAGAGATCTTACTGATTGGCTCAACTGCCGTCTGTGTCCACCATCTCCGATGTTTTCTACAGCAATCTAACCGGTGTCTACCAGACAAGCAGGTTGACCGATAGCATTTGGATTCAGCATAATAGTGTAGACGTTGCAACGAACGAATTCCGCAGATCTGACACTCACCACGACACGTACTGCTTGCCCACAGAAAGCTAAGCCCAAAGCTTCCGAAATGAATGTTAGCTGTGGCGTAGACAGTTGTATAAAAGTTGTGCGCTTTGGAAAATAATGCAGAAACTGCCGAACATACTTTCATTCTGGAGGTGCGCATCTCAGTCTCAGCCAGAGTAAAAACTTCATATTAAAACCAATTCTCTCTGGTTCTGCACTGAGTGTACATCACTTCCACTCGTCAAATGTAAAACTGCGTTGTCGCAGAAGTGCAATAGACTGATAAAGATTGTAGTGCAGGCAGTAACCGTGAAGGTTGTCCCAGATGAACCAGACAAATCCGTGTTTCGAACTCGATGCTCAACAGCAAGCTCCAATTCAGCGCAGTGTAAGAGTAAGGATCCAGAGTTAGCCACCCCGATACTAACGGCTGCTCATAAAGATGCGTTCGCCACACAGGCTTAAACAGAACCACCTGCCATACTGATCACTGTTAAAATCCTGACAACATACGCGCCCGCTGTTTTTACCTATGTGACGGACGCACCTCCCATTGTAACCCCGCCAGCTCCCAAACGTTTCCCACTATCAATATTACCACGAAACTCAAGACGCCATTATTTGTCCAACCAAAGAAAGTAGCCATTGGTCCCCCCAAATAGAAGAACAGGAAACACTGCCATAATTCTCTGACTGTTATATGCTCTAATGAGACGGAATCCGGGGCGAACTCTATGAAAGATAAGCTACTGGATGGCAAACAGCGGTGGGACACCCTGTGTCAACTAATAACGGTTCAGGCTAAACCAGTCAGTATGACGTGTCTCGTCCTTCACCCAAACTCCGTACACTACAGTGAACGGCGTTTACCCCAGGGTAAAACTTCAATCAGCTAATGATGCAGAGGCAGTCCTCATGTCAGCCACTCGCCTCCGTACCACCACATGCACTGTTCGAATATTTCTAGATGTTCCTTGGATCGAACGACAGAAATGTAAACGAAATCCCGATGACTTCCGTAAACAACAAGTCATCATCATCATCATATACGTTAGCTAGAGGTGGGAAACACCTCAGCTACTGTGCCGCACAGAAACAAGACACGAAATCTACCCTTGATCACTGTCTCTCCGTGATCCAGGCATTAAACTAGCTAGAGGCCAAAACGCAGGCCTTAGATGAATGGTGTTTTATTTGTGAAGTGCTCTCACTCGAAACTGTTTTCGCTAATTCGACCTCAAGGTTACCGTTATCACCTAACTACAAAGGGTATGGTCCCCGAGTGATGAAAGCATCATTGCACTCCCAACTGATGACAGAACATGTGATCAAAATGTGACACAAAAAGCGTAAAATGTTGCCCTTCGAAATACGTATAAAGGCAATATGCACCGGGCCACAGATAGACAATGTAACACTGAGCAAGCAACTTACCAATACACTTCAGTCACCGTGTAGCTCAGAATGGGGATAATGCCGAAACACACCGGCAGTTGATGGAGGACAGGATAGTCGCCCACTTGTTGGCGCTGAGAGCTCTATAAAACAACCTACACTGGCCCTAGGGCCTGCGGCATCGGTCCTACAAAAATTCGGCCGGCAGCCGACCCCGCCAGGGTGGACAAAGCCCACAACGAAAACCAGCATTCACAAACATCCTTCTGATCACCGATGCCCTTACCTGCTTTTATACCAATGCACAAGGTCTTCTCAGCAAACTAACCGAAGTTCGTATTCGTCAGGTCACCACGCCTTTAAACCTAGTTATGGTCATCGAAACATGGCTAAACACAGAGATCAC